CGACCTAACTCACGCCACCGATTTCCACCAGGAAGCACAGCCCCACAGAACCTCCTGGCTGGAGAAACCAGGATTTCAAATCTTCGTTTGCAACGTCCTCTCGGGAGCGTGAAACGAGGAAAAGGGTCGTGCGCTCACCTGCGTTTCCTCATGAACAGGAATTTTTTCACCTCGATGGATTGAGCACAAAGCGCTTCCAGCCCCGAGTCTGCCGGTGTGTGAGCCAAGTGCCCCGTGTGTCCTGCTCCCACGGACGGCGGCGGGTGATCACAGCCACAAAGGGTCGTCCTGAACAGGTATTTTTCAAGGTTTCTTCCAGTTAAAGACCGGGACGCTGCTGCTGTTTGAGCTTCACGTGGGTTTGGCTGCTGCCGAGATCCATCAAAGTGTCACAGCTATTATTGCAGCTTTGCATAGTACTGTGCAACCTGCTCTGCCCTGGCAGGCAAGGAAAAAGGAAAAGGGAAAAAGGAAAAAAAGGAAAAAAGGAAAAAAGGAAAAAAGGAAAAAAAGGAAAAAAGGAAAAAAAGGAAAAAAGGAAAAAAAGGAAAAAAGGAAAAAAGGAAAAAAAGGAAAAAAGGAAAAAAGGAAAAAAGGAAAAAAGGAAAAAAGGAAAAAAGGAAAAAAAGGAAAAAAGGAAAAAAGGAAAAAAGGAAAAAAGGAAAAAAGGAAAAAAGGAAAAAAGGAAAAAAGGAAAAAAGGAAAAAAGGAAAAAAGGAAAAAAGGAAAAAAGGAAAAAAGGAAAAAAAGGAAAAAAGGAAAAAAGGAAAAAAGGAAAAAAGGAAAAAAGGAAAAAGGTCTGGGGGGAAAAAAAAATGTCTGGGGCAAAAAAAAGGGTCGAAGGGGGGAAAAAAAAAGGTCTGGGAGGAAAAAAAAAGGTGTGGGGGGAAGAAAAAAGTCTGGGGGGAAAAAAAGAGGTCTGGGGGGAAAAATCTAGAAAGAAAAGTCTAGAAAAAAGTCAAAAAAAAAAAAAAAGAGTTGGGAAAAAAAGTCTAGGAAAAAAAGCACCCCCAACTTCGTTGGATCTGATTTTTCTTTCACTGAATTATGGATTAATTATTCTTACTATACTCTGTGAAGTACTATACTGCTTAATATATGACAGCATACTAAAATGGAAAAAAGCCCGTTCATGTGCATAAAATGCAGATCCAGGCTCTGCTGTGGTGTATCAGTGCTGCACTCAGCTGTGGGTATGGAAGCAAAAGGAAAGGAGGAGTTAATCATTTGCAAAAAAAAAAAAAAAAAAAAAAAGCTGTAGTTACCGCATAATTTGTTTTTTCATTAAGCAGCATCCGAGAGCAAGGGGATATTTGTTCTATTAAAAATGCTTATTTAAAAACTCCTTTTAGAGTTAATTTTTCCTCCTGAAGGCTGTTTTTAAAAAAATCAATCTCCTCTGTAAAAGAGGAGGGAAAAGCACTATTTTTTCAAAACAGAGTTTTGTATTTCATCTGAAGTTAATGAAACACAGCTCCTTGACAAAACCATATAATACCAGATTGCTAGCACTACCATTACATGATGAAGATAATTGTTTCATGGTACTTTTCAAGAGCTATTAATGTTAAGAATTACTTATTCCACCAAATGAACATTATAAAAATTTAATAGTATGCAGATTGCCATTATTGCAAAAGCCTCTGGGCCTTATAGGCCAAGAAATTTCAATTATTCAAAAATATTAATAAAGTAAAATTTTTTTTTTTTTTTTTTTCTTTCTTCATTTTTCTAATCCGTGTCTTCACTTTTTAGAGCACCTGCCTCGAGTGTGCAAACGCCGCTGCCTTTGGTGATTTGCCTCTAACAACATGCAACAGTGTCCTCCACGGAGAGGTCTGCCAAGGGAGCCGTCGCTCTGCCCAAGGGCAGGGGAGGTCGCGGGGCATTCCCAGCCACGCTCACTGCTCCTCCTGGAGACCAGAATATGGTGCTGAGCTGTAGAGCACTGGGGAAGCTTTTTCATACTTATTTTTCATTCGAAATGGCAGGTGAGATCTTTTGAATTTAAGCATCCACTTGACGAATGCTTCCACTGAGGTTGCAGCACGGGCAGAGCCTTCAGACCAATTTAAGCTGCAAGACCAGGCTCTGGATGAGGAGAGAGAGAGACAGCGAGCAGGAAAGCTCTAACCCTGCTCCAGGCTCCTTCCCCAACCCGGTAAATCCACACTTCAGCAAACAACATGGACTACGGCTGGTCCCAGCTCTCCCAGCCACCGCGGCAGCTCCCACCCCACGCCCGTCACCCAGCGCCATCCGTCGTGTCCCTGCCTGGGCTCGCAGGAGGTTGGTGCATCTTCACCAGTTAGGGGCTGGGACGTGCACGTCCCTTCTTCACCCTTATGAGCACTTCCTAAATAAAAAAAAACGACTTGACAGAACTTCATAAAGTTACTGTATTAAGAACCAAACCTGCCTTCTCCTCCTGGAAGACGGGAGCAACCAACTCTCATCACTGGAACGGCCAAGTTGTGCTAATGAGGCTAGAGCAGCTCTCCCAAGCTGTCATCATCTGTAGCCATGAAAAACTGAAGGGATCAGAAATTTCATTATCTCCGGAGAAAAAAAAAAAAGCTGCTTTTCAATATAATCTTTCCAATCAAATGGCCTCCTCATCAGCGTAAGTTAAGTGGGGGATAAATAAGGCAAAAGCAGCTTTGAGCAAACGTTTGCTGATCTCTTTTAGGTGAATAAGTGAAACGAGCGGTGATCAGCCAAACAAAATTTCTCTCCAAAAGAAGTTTCAAGCTTCAAGTGCCAAGGAAAACATCCATAGGAACTAAAAGAGGCGCTTTTCCTGCACCCGCGGGGAGAAGCATAGCGAGGGAGCGGCGCGGCCCGGGCGGGCTGCTGGCAGCACAACAGCTCTCCTTTTCCTTGCCGCTTCGCAGCTCCACAAAGTTGTAAAACTCCATTTTCCAACGCTCCACCTTCAAGATATTACTGTTGTTTTGCTGCTGTACAACAGAGAGAAACCTTCAAAGAGTGGCACAAGAGTGGTCTCTGGTGGAAGGAGATCAGATCGACAGCGCTGCCACCAACCACTGCAGGAACCTGAGCCAAAGACCTTTGTCCACAGCTACCAGAAGTCACTTCTTTTCAGCCACAATACTAGAAACCCTAAAAAAAAACAAAAAAAAACAAAAAAAAAAAAAAAAACAAAAAAAAACAAGTAACAAGTTCTCACGCACGCTTTTGGACTTTAGCTCTTTTATCAACATACAATTTTACTGTACTCAAATCTGCCACAAAACCGAGAATGGGAAGAGTGGCTTTTCTGAGGTATTTTCTTAAATGTGGACTTGAAACTACAGTCAAAACGCTCGTCCCACTTCGGAGCTGTAGCACACTGACCAACCATCTGACAGCAGATAAGGAAACAAGACAAGATAAGGAAAGACAGCAAATAGTTGTTCAGGGCAGTGACACCACGAGTAAACGTGCAACTGCAGTCGAAAACATTCGAGAGCAGGTTCCTTCCTCAAAAATCAGGACTTCAGCCCACTTCAAAGTTGACACTTAGAAGTCTGAACCCAGAAAAAATAACATGAGATGGGCAAAAATCTCGTCACCCAAAAATTCAGAGGAATTTTAAAGGCATTGAAAAAAATCCAATCATTAACGTTCAACAGATGTTTCCTTGTAACTTGGGAGTTTGATCAGCACAGAAAACAGAAAATACCTGTCAGCTTCAACAGCCTTTGAATCAGGACTACAAAACAAACAAACAAAAAAAAACAGAGGAGATAATGTCAAGGAGAAAACAAATCCAGAAGAAAAAAAGGAAAAAAAAAAAAAAAATAATCAAAGTGATGGTCAGACAGCTTGTTTCCACATTCCTGTTTTTAAACACAGCAGGAGCTGTTTCCCAGCGGAGAGTTATCCATGGGCTGGAAAGAGCCCAGCAAGGCTCCTGGTGCAAAATTCTCACCTGCCCTCGGTTCTTCACAGACCAACTCGGAGAACGTGGAATCGGGAACTGCCAGCAGGTAGGTCGGTACTTGCTCAGACTCGGCTACCTGCTCCCAAGGCCAAGAGCTTGATGCCACCACACTTTCATTTCTTGGCTCCACATCACATCACTGCTTTCGGTGCAGGCTGCCCCTCAAATCATTACGCAGGGAACACGAAAGGAGGATGGGGGGAGAAGCAAGCGGCTTTTCGTTTTGGAGGTGGGATGGTTTTCCTGCAGTAAGGAGCCATCCCCTGTTCTAATTAGATGAAACCCAGCATCTCATGTCTAGTGACCAAGGCAGATGAAGCTGGCAAGAAAATCTTCGCCAAAGAGTAATCCCTTCTCCAAACCATTAACTTATTTTGTGTGCTATTGCAAGGATACGGTTGAGAAGTCTCATTTCCCCTAGGGAAAATAAAAGCTATTTCTTGCACACCTCCATCACGTGTTCCCGAGATAACCAGGTCTAAGGCAAAAAGACAGAGCCAAGCTACCCCTGCAGACAAAGAACTGTCAAGTTCTGGTTGAGGCAGACTTTCCCTTCCTCCCCAAAACACCCAGCGGTACGCCCAGCCTCTAAGGAAGTGGAGTAACACGGTATTTGCTGTAACAGCAACGCTCTCAGCAGCGACAGCTCATGACTAAGGCTGGCTCTTAAAAAACAGTGAATTCCCAGCCTACCCTCCTCGAGCCTACGCGGTCAGAGCCTTACCTTCTCCACCCACAGGACTGCCAGAGACACCTACGACAGAACCGGACAACTGATCAGGGACTTCTGCTACCCAAGTCTTGAGCTCTTCAGATGGACCAAGTCACGGAGAACTTGAATGAGAGCCACAAATCTGTTTGAACACAGACTTCAGATAGGTTTTCCTTTACTCACCCCTACTCCCAGGTAGTAGCTGAAGTTTTCCTGCCCGGTGAATGCCAAAGATCAGCTATACACACTCAAATTCATCTTTTCCTTTTGTTTAGATCACCTGCGAGTTTCGTGACGGCCTTACAAAAACTACACTATAAGAAAAACACGCATAAGAAGTGGTCAAATACACCATTTTTTTAATGTAGATTTGTAAAATTTAAGCTCAGTTTTGAAAGTTTAGGACATTTCATGAAAGAGCATTTGGTCCTCTTAAAAATTTCCCTTTCCCAATTAAATACTTCATGGAAGAATAACAATTAAGCATACATTGCATTTTTAATTTGGAAAAATTGATATTGCACATTATACCAAGAAATACAAAAGTCTGTTTCAGCAAGTTATTCCAGCAGTGTTATCAATTTCATTCTGATATCATCGATTTATACAAACGTTTTAATTTTAGTGCATAACATGTGCCCTGCCATTAGAGAGTAAAAATGCATCAAAGCATTTTTAAAACAAAAAGGAAGAAAAATTGGCCTCTTGAAGAATACAAAGCCTTTTACCACGTAGCCAGCACCAGTCCTCCTTGTAAATAAAAACCATTCCTATGGAAAGATGACTGTCAGGTCACCCTGGCAACACAAATTTCAATGCAGTTTCTAATGAGAAGCTGACCATATCCTGTTTGGCACTGTAACTAACAGTCCACGTCACTGAGGGCTGAAAGGCTGCAATACCTGCCCATACTGCTCCCACCCCACAGCTCTAATTCTGGCACCCCCCCAAGAGGGATAAAGCACAGTGGCAGAACAGTTGGGCAACTTCATCACAGTCGTGCAATTCTCCGAGGAAAACTCGGAAACAGATTTCTGGGCCTCACACTCTGCTGGAACTCGCACCGGGGTTCAGGTGCTTCAGAAGGCACAAAACAACTGCGAGGTGATTGCAAAGTACGTAACGCACATTCAGGGAGCTAAACTGTGAGCTGGGGGAGAAATCATTACCAGAAGCAGCCCCCGAGACAGCCAAGGCAACGACTGTCCCGGCACCCGCTACGCCACAATTTTAAACGGCCAGTTGTGGAACGCTGCGTTTGGCTTCCAGGGCTACCAAGCACTTCTCATTTCAGAGCTACACTTCTCATTTCAGAAGGTCTGGCCCGGCAGCAGCATTTCAGAAAGCCCAGACATTTGTGCTTTCTGCCTCCCTCGGCTGGTGGAAAGCAGCCCCCTTTACACACCCTCCTGCGCTCCTTTACATGTCTAGAAACCAAATCGTACCTGCACACCCAGACCACATTTACCTGTTAGGAAGCTACACCTCGAACCTCTCCCGATACCTCTTTGGATCTTAACACCTTGAATCTATATTTTGCTTTGAAACAGGGAACTAAGACATTCCAGTGATAGGTTTGCAAAGCCAATTCTACAGGAGTTGGGATTGCCAGCTGCCTCAAACATCGAGGCAACCAATTCTGTTGCAGTGTTTTGGGAAACCTTAACATATTTCCTTCTCCCTGCTCCAGCCCTCTGCCCCCCCTTAATACACACACAATAAGAGTAAGAAGACAGGATTATTTTTTTTTTTTTTTTTTTTTGCCTGAATACAAGATCCAACTATCATGGAATAGAAGATTCTACGATGAAGTCCCTGAGTTGCACCTGTATACTAAAAGATTCAAACAATAACCTCTTCAGCGCTAACTTTGTATTTGTTAGAAATGTTCTGAGCCGCAACATATGGTTTATGAAAACCAATGTTGTTATAAGAAGGTGAAAAAACAGCAGATCAAGTTTGCCCTTATATTTAAGCCTTAATTTAAAAATAATTAACCCAACAGTATCATTCAACTACTCCAACTGTAGTCAAAAGTAAAAGGCATGTAAGCAATGGGGAGCCACTGAAAAAAAACCCTGTTATATTTAGAATAAGTTGTTTTGGCCTCGGTTTGTTTTCATCCCTCAACAGCCCTGCCTAAATTTAACCGCTTTCTTCCTGCAAGTCCAGAGCCAGTAATTCCCCAAACCCATCTGAGCTGCGTTTCGGGATGCCAGGATGGAGCAACGGCCGGCTCCCACCGTTCCTCACCAGGAGGCAGAGCGCAGCACCGCAGCCGGCATCGACAGCGGCTGCAGCCAGGGCGCAGGGGAAGTCACCACTGCAGGCTCAGACCTGGCTAACTCCCTCCCCAGGGCGATGCAGAGGCAGCCCCATTACTAACACTGACACAGAGAATAAATCCAGCCCAGAAATATTCTTTGGGATGAGCACAGAGGCTGATATCCTTCCAGTATTTAAAAAAAAAAAAAAAAAAAAAAGAATTTATTTCATACACAAGTTACTTTTTACGTTACTTTGGGATCCGCTGTATTTTGTAACCAGCTAATCAGAAATACTTTATCCATCTTCCCAAGCAAGCTCCGTTTTTCCTGCTAGTGAAGAAAACTTAAGGCACTGACATATTAATGCTGTCAGGAATGCAAAATAGTTTGTTCTTCGTGCACTGTTATACCAGTTCTTAGCAGCATCTTTCCCAAAAAGGCACTAGAAACATGGCAAACCACAAAACTTTTGGAACTTCTGCTCAGCTAAGCTATATCAAGTTAGCTGCTTGGAAAGCTGAGTGGCTTTGCAGTTTCCCCTTCCCTCCCCCCCATTCCCTTACAAAAAAAGGCACCTGATATGTTTTATTACTGGTTTCTGTAGCTACAGGCTCTCGTGACCATGCAGTTCCACACAACTGTGTATATAAGGGACATCATGGCTATACTGACAGCTTTTTATATGATCGGGAGTTCTCTTTTCAAGAAACTATTCCAGATAGACCGTTTTTGTTTCAGCAAAACCCATTACCAGTGGGTTGCTACCTGAGTAGTACTTAAGGTTGCGTATTGCTAGTCAGAATAATTCAATGATTAAACTTGGTGTAAGAAATTGCACTTTCCCATTCCTTCCCCAATCCCAAAATCATTTCAAATTAAATACTAGACCCTTTTCTAAAGGGACATTTGTAATACAGCTACAAAGAGGTAGCTAAGCGGCATGTGCCAATTTTCTTCTTTTTTTTTTTTTTTTTTTTTGTCTTTTAAAGTATATTCAGCCTTCATTTGCAACAAGCATTTTTCATAGGAAGTCTTAAAACAAGAAATCTCTATTCAGGTGGCACATGGAGTTACCACAGTCCAGAAGACAGAACTCGAAGGAGAACTCGATCTCCCTTCATGTCCATGATTACAAACTAAGAAGCATGGGGGATACCCAAGTGACTCAGCATATGCAGGTATGTAGCTGAAGAGGAGAGGAATGACTACAGCCAAATCCCATGCTCCTCTTGACATACAGTAGAAGTTACTCTGAAGAATGATTCAGATCAAGCCCACCATTCGATCAATCTGTCTCATGTAGTTACTCTTCAATGGCAGCAAGTATCTCCTCTCATCAGGAACTCTGTTACACTGTTAACAAAAAGACAATATTTTTAAGAACTCAAATACAACACCAGGCAATCCTATACCCTCTCTAATCAGGAACCACAGATTTCCTCCCAGTACAGAAAATTGTACCCAAGAGCACCTCTGGTCCCACCTCTCCCTCACTCTGCAAACTTACAGCACAAGCCACATAAATGAACAGCGAGTGTTTCCTCAGTGCAGGCTGCAAGCTTCCAAATACACGCCAAACTGCTGCAGCTTGTTTTTCAACCGAGGCTTCCTTCACTATGACAACTGTGAATATTTTTTAAAATAATGCTCTTTTTCTGCAGGACTGGGGGGAGGAGGAAAGGAACCATGCTAGAACCTACTAGCAGAGATTTAAAAAAACTCTTCTGTATTAAAAACGTATCCACTTGTGGTTGGTGATAGGCACTGGATCCATAGCTCTGTCCTCAGTTGATGCCTAGCTAAAAAAGGTCACCTTTACATGCCTCAAAAACAGTCTGAGGAAAAAAAGCTCTATTTAAACGACCCTCTGCTTTTCTCCTTCCCCATCAGAGCAACACTGGTAAATTTTAAGGGCAAAGAAAAGGAGAAGGGAAAAATAATTAGAACTAAATGAACAAAGAACAAATTGCTGCAAAATACTTAAAAGGGGACAGGTTTCACCTTCAGCATAATCACTCTTACATTATCCTAATCGATTCATTCCACCATGGAAAGTGTTTTTCACAAGAGAGCTTCTCAGATATTTGACATTTATACAGGAAACACTGCAGAGCTCGAAAGTTAACACTTCCAAATGGGTCCTTTTCTACTGCCCAGCCTACTTCAACATCCATCCCTTCCCCAGCAACACAACCAGGAATCAGTCTGTGTATTCCTTACGTTAGAGCTGAAGTTGACTGCCTTCAATTCGTTAGGTTTAATTTTTTCTGCTCTGTCCTCTTCTTCAGGGAGGATGTCTTGCCACAGTGAGTTACGAAAACGTTCATCCACAGACACAACATGCCCCTCAGTAGTAAACATATACTTATTTCCAGATTTATGCAGTGGATTCTCTTCATCAAACAACTAAACAAGAGATGGGAGAGGCAACTGTAGCATGCGTGCAACGTTCTTCAGGTCCCACCAGTGATAAGTTAAAATGCACTCACTCGTGCATTTGAAGGATCACACAAAAAGCATACCTTTTAGTGCTAAACGGTTAACCACAGTTAGAGCAAATGGAAGTAAACAGTTTTAATGCAAGGGATTTCCTCTAAGAGTTAAAAGCAAAAGAAAAACTCCTCCCATAATTTAAACTGCCCTTATTTTTCTCAGCTGCACGACGCAGGCATTTCTAGGCTGGCATTCACTGTTTTCATTCAGTCACAGATTCATTTGGTTTTCTACACTAAATGAGATTGAAAACAGTAGCTTAAGCCGTGTTGGTTCAAATGCTTTCTCCTGTGACTGCCAAAGCTTCACAGGGAGAAAGTGGAGGCTGCTGCCAGGCAGGCAAAATGGCTACAAGCAGTTATTTAGCTCAGAGCTGAGCAGTAGCTTCCTTCCCTCTCCTTTCCAGCTCCCTCCCAAAAGAGCTGCCGGCCCTCCAGCCAGCAGCTGCCCAGACCTCCAAGGTCAGGACAGGGTCAAAGAAAGAAGAGCAGCACATTCTGTGATACACTCTGCTACCTAAACCCCTTCTCCTCCCCAGAGCGCTGCCCAGTTTCCAATTAACAACATCTCGCCTCCTCGCTGCCCCGTGCCTGGGCACAGCGCACGCAAGAGAGCATCTCTGAAACGAAGAGCAGGTACATACCAGGTACAGGTATTTACATGTTTCACTGAGAAAAAAGCTCTCCATTCGATCTTCCTTTGTCTTCTCCACAACGTGGTGTAATGTGGCATAGCCACACCTGCAAGATTTAAGATTAGTTTGGGTTTAGTTCCCCCGCGTTCTGATCTCGAAGCTCTCCCTAGATACTCTGTAACTTCAGACCATTCCAATTGCCAATTCTAAAATGAAACAAGGTCTCTTTTACAAGTAAGCACGGATTACTGGTTTCTGGTACCCTGATGAGACTGTGATCACTGACCCTGTGGTTCATCTACTCCACCGTGCAAATTTATGAAGGGCCTCTCACAGAACCAAGATACTCTCAAGGCACCCTGCACAAAACGGGTCATTTCCCCAGACTGAGCACATGAGAAACCCAGGTCTGGAAGCCTGGCCTCATGCAACAGCTTCTCCCCACGCTACCTACTCATCCCTCCCACCAACACTTAACAATTGACAAAGCTGCAAGCTGTCACGGAGCACACTTGTGATTCATTCAGTCAACCCCTACACAGCACCTGAATCCCACTTGACTGCAGAATGGCTCTCATTTATACTGCCCTATGGCTAGTACAGACTTGTCTACAACATCAGTAAATACCAATAGTTGAATAAAAATTCACTGTCTTCCCTCTGAGTCTTGCAAGAAGTTCAGACAGTATTACAGTCAGAATTCCACAAAGCCAATATGCAACAGCATCTCTTAGAGGCCGTCCCTCCAGTTTAGTTAAACACCACGGGTCCACGAGGTTAGAAATAATCTCGCAGGATACATAGGAAAACACAACCCCACGACTACTAATTTTACCAGTTTTTAGCAACTGATCATCAACAATGCATTTTAAAAGGTAGTCATGAAATTCTGAAGGCAGAAAGTTATCATCGGACTATAATTTCATTTTCAGATGAGAAAAAAATAATTGCTCAATAAATCAATCATCACTTGTGGCTTTCATGGAGAGCTAGGTTTTCCAGTTTACCTACGTTTGGCAGATTGGATTCTACATAGTATTTATATAATAAAATATACGTATATAGCAGTGAAAGAAGACAAAGAACATTGAAGACTGACTTTGCTTTTGTATATTTTTCCAAACTCTGCAGAATATCCATTCCCACATGAAGGTAAAATGGGTTCTTTGTGGCCTAAAGAAGGAAGACAGACAAGAGTTAGAGTCAGCAATTCCGAAATCTTGTAAAAGTAACACTTACAACAAAGGCCTAGTAGTATCAAATTCTCGTACAGTGAACTTATCTTTATAGGAACATGACTTAGATTACTCTGTGCAAGCTTCTCACATTTGCGTTAGTGCAAATCCTAATAAGACTTGTAGTAAATTCAAACTCTTTGATAGCTTTCTTGCAGCCAGAAAGTTATTTTAGTTTACTGTATCTTCTGCCAGCTGGAGACTGTGCCTAGGCAACACGGCAAGGAAAACTATTATGTTCGCTGCAACAATTTCTATTAAGAAGTCACAAGTCTCTACCTTGTAAAAATCTGCCAGCTATTTTTTCAAAAGGTTGTTTAGTCTTATTTGTGTCTGCCTTATAAAAAAGACTATTTTTCAAGCAAACAACATAGCAACTACATTGCATAACAATCTAGTGTTTAAACAGAGAACTCCATGTAGGAACAGGCAGATCCAAAGGCACCAAGTTTTAGCAGGCCAGGGGCTAGGCATAGAAAAAGCGACTTTCTGAACAAAAACATTTTTGCCAAAACATGAGCTGTAAGCTGAGAAAAATCAAGTACCTGATAAAGAAGATATGTGGACTCTACTAACTCTGGCCTCAGTGGATAAAAGGGAACATCCGGTGCTTGCAATTGCCAGTTGTATCTTTCTGGGAGAGCTCCGTATCGTTTCCATATGGCATAATAAAAAGCATGGAGACAAATGGCATCTTCCACATCTCCTATCAATACCTAGGTGTAACAGCAGCCATAAACACGCACACTTAATACTGCAAGCCAGCAAATTGCTTTCCACTCTGGGTAAGAACATGCCATATAATAAACAACTCCCCTCATAAGGGGAGACAAAAACCAAAACCACCGCAAAAAAACCCCAACCCACAAAGCTAACGTATTAATTCCTTCACACTAAAAGCTTCAGTGAGCTCAGCCTCACCACACGGTATATAAATGCTGAGGTTAAATGAGGAAAGTGAAGAAGTATCTCAAATTTAATAGAGAGGAGGCCAGGCCTTCCAATACTATTGTGCTGATGCAGAAGCTGAACCGCCTTAAGACTCTCTTATCAGAGCAGCCAGATGTAAACCTGGAGGTGGAAGCTCATCTCGGAAGAGATGCTTAAGACTCCTTCCCAGCCTAGGATTACAATGAGCCCTCCTGACACCCCTCTACTGTGGTGTACAGTCTTTAACAGAATGAAAGTTTACCTGTAGTCCAGGAAAAAAGGCTTGCAAAGAGTCAATCCACGTGTTCATCAGCTGTCCTGTGAACATGTTTACATTGACATACAAAGGAGGGTCACCTTCACCTTCGTTGCAAGCCTCTCGACTGCCAAGTAACAATAAGCATGTGTAAATATTCACTGCTTTAGAAGAACACAATGCATGTTTCATTTTACAGCACTGCCACCAGCAAAGAGAACGAGCGACAGATTTGTCGTGCTAGGCTCAAAGCCATTTTGAAAAGAATCAAAATGTCAGTCATGCTCTCAGAAAAATTAATTCATAAAAGGTATGTACATCGTATCCTTAAGTTATCCCAGCAGAATCTCTACCAAAAAGTCATGCTAGGTAAGATAAGGCTTTGAGAAGTACTATACCAGCCAATTTAATACATTTCCTTTGCAGTTCTACAACCGTCTCTCAGTCTAACAATTGCTAATTTGGACAGTAACCAGTTTAGCTTCTTTGCACCAATAATGCTATTCAGACCGGTTGACTAAGGAGTGAAGGGAACATTAAAATTTATTTCCACGTTGACTACCACAGGAAATAAGATTTCGGTTTTTAAAGAAGAAAAGAGAACACAGATTTTCTACAGCCTGACACAAAACACTATACAATCTCTCGTATCTTGCTGGAGTACTCGTTGCTCAAGGAACTGATATCTGTATGAAATAACATACCCTCTTCTTAAGTGGTTCTGAATGTTCCGATAAGCATCATTGAACATTTCCAAGTCTTCCTTTTCTCCAAAGAGGATGTAAGACTTCAGAAGGTATTCATAGAATGAATCCGACCCTGCTCCCAAGCCACTTTGCTTTCCAACCCAATGGCCAGTTTGAATGTTCACAACATTTCCTTTCAGAACAGATAAAAAGTTTAGTCTAAATCTGCCAAGTACATCAGAGAAAAATAATCAAGAGCTTAGAAATACAACATCTTCAAAAAGTCTTAAGGGGGAATGATCAAAGATTACTATCAAGATAAAGTGTTACAGTGCATTCATCCAAGGAACTAGCACACACACGCAGTTGTTTTAAGTACTTTTAGTCATCTGCCAATCTAAATTATATTAATTGGGATACAAATGGGAGAACTTCAGCTCTCATTCCCCAGTTTAATGAAAAATCTGTCTTTGGAAACCCGTGCCCTAAAAAGTCATTCAGATACCCCACTCTCCTTATGAAATTACAAAGTGCCATTTGGTCGACAGAAACTACGAGTACACAAGGAGAGCATCACTTAACAGCTCCAGAGGAAGCACATCAACAATGTTTATGATACGTGAAAGAAACCAGTAGCATGAGAGTGTTCTGCTACAGGAGAGCAAGGCAAGTTCCAACACGGAGTCAGACAACAAAGCATCACCTCAGAGGAGATTACCTAGCAGTCCGGTGTTATTGTTCCTGAGACTCCAGAGGGCTTTGACAGCTCTCCTGGCCACCCATTCAAACGTGGAATCGCCCAGCAGCCTGCTAAGGATACCAAACTCCACCAGCAAGGAACCGGCTCCTGCAGTACAAGTTTCATTATTGCTGTCTGGGGGTACCCCCTTCTTCAGATTGACCTGTGAAGCCGGGAGAGAGAGTGCTCACAGCGAGAAGGCAGGCTGCACCTCATCCAGCTGCGCTCTCATCTGCACTCCTATATTATTTATTACAATGCCTTTTTGTTAGTTTTTGCAAGGCGTAGCGTGCGATGTGTATCTAGCTAGAAAGCCCCCGTACCACTGCTTGGTCAAAAAGCTTCCCTGAAGAATTCGTGAAATTCATCTTTCAACTTTATATCATCATACTCAAGGTGGGAAATGCTAATTTTGCTACTCTCATACTTGCTATTCCTTCCAAATTTCAGTCCACTTTTTCATCATTTCTACTCAACGTTCAAGTTCTTCCAAGGGTGATGCAAGTACTGCTTTCCCCTCGTTTAGTGCTCTTGAAACCAAGAGTTTCCTTAGCAAATGCTCCTCAACTTCCCCACGGAACAAAATGCTGAAGAGAAGTTTACACCACCCTCAACTGCTTTACCAGACTGAACAGAAGCGAAAGTTCCTGTTTCTACAGCCTGACAGGTCTGGAGGAAAAGCAGTGCTGCTGGCCCCAGAAATTAAAAGTAGCCAGGGAAGTGCTAATTAGTCTTACAGTTTAGAGTTGTTCCACTAGAACTGACATCGTTCTCTTTGCAAACTGCATCTGCTTGAAACAAAAGGATGCAGTATTCAAGAATACCACGGTATTCTTGAGTACTCACTCAGCAGTCTTCAAGAAAATTACAAATTCCAAGCCCAGTATGACAAATATTTTAGATGAGTTTTATTTTATCACCATTATCTTAGTACTAAGTCACCAATAAAGTCACTTTCCTAAGCTATTTGCCTGTACAGTATCTGGTGTTAACCTTCTTAATGACAGCATTGTTTGTTGCTGCATGATATACAGGAAGAAAGCGTGGGGCAGGGCACGTTCCAGCCAACCAGCACGGAAACAAATGACTACTGACCCATAAGGAACAATATACACAGACTGAAAAAACAGCCTAAAGAAAACATTTAGTAGACATAAAGAGCAACTTACACATTGTCCATGTCACCATAACTTAGCGGCTCCCCCCACATCATTTTAATGTAATTGAAAGCAGGTTCAATACCCCAAGCGCGCATATAAAAGCATACACAGGGCACGGAATTCGAGTTGTAGGACAGGTGAATTGCTAATTTTAGATCATTTCCCCACTGTGTTGGTGTGCTCATTTACCCGAGGATATGGAATTCCAGTTTTGGTGTTCTCAAAGGCTGGAAGTAGTCTCACTGCCAGGTCATGAGCCATATGCAACAGTTCATTGTCATAATCCTTAATGGTCATATCACCAAAAGGCTGTTTGGTATCTGTAATTATTATGTGGGCAGAAAGCAGGCTTCCCAAAACCCTATGGGAAAAGGAAGAGATCTTCAGTATTTAAATCTGATCCGAACCCAGTTCTTCAGCTAAACCCTTACCGGTATCACGTTTAACAGAAGCATTACTTTGTGCACCTTACAGTCACTACAGAAAGAGACCGTGTTTTTTTTCCCCCACCGGTAGTGAAAAGATCTAAAAGTCATGTTGCTCGTCACCCACGGTACTCTCAAAATCCAGTTCTGCAAAATTTACCTATCCCAGTAGCTCCTTACAGCGTACCAAGTCTATTTATGAGCGAAGACCTCCTTGCCCCTGCAAATGGCAGTAAGGCTGGTATATAAACTTAGTATTCAGAAAAAAGAAAGCCTAGCCAAGTTAAGCAGCAACTGAATAAACACTCAGACATTTAGAAAATTACGCCATTTAAAAATCAGACAGTATCTTAAACTCATCTCCAAGACAGACAGGCTTGTTTTTCATCTAAAACAAAAGTGAAAGCAAGCAAAAAGTCCACAAAAGAAAACAAAACCAAGGAAAACCTGTCAGCTGCAAGAGCAACAACAAAAAAGTAGCAGTCTGCAAGCCAAACACAGTTGAGACTGCCATTGCATCACTGCTTCAAGTCACATGCGACTCACTAAAATTGTTCTAATTATTAAAGGATGGAATATTTTCATAAAAGGTCAAAAAACAACTTACTCAAGGAGCAATTACGGAATAAAGCCTACCAAAGACATCAACAATTTTTACTTTGGTTCTCCTGTATATGCACACCAAGTCTCTAACCTTGCTACTGTTTTACAGGCAGAAATCTAGAGCAACATACCTGATTGTTGCCTCAAAAACTTGAACCGTTGAGTCTTTATCAAATGAAACCGTGTCAATCACCAACTTCACTGCTTTCTGGAATTCTGAGGAGTTTCCCATTACCTTTTACACAAAAACAAAACCATTTTGTCTAATTGTTGCTTCAGTACAGGGTTGGAGAAGAGAATGGCAAGTTCACATTTCAGACCAACAGTCTTATTAACTAGATACAGATGAGAGTACTTCAAGCTCCTGCTAAAAAGACTTTCCAGAAAGTTACCCATCCTACCCCCATGTAAAAGTGCATTTTTTAATATGTATGTTAAAAACAGGAAAATCCCCAAGGATATTTTTCTGCTTTACTAATCTATGCACTCATGTACCCTTCCACCCCCAACACCAGACTTGTGAGTGATCTCTTAGAGCAGGAGCCTAAAAACTCTAAAGATCTAAACCACTGAGTGTTTTAACTGCTTAAACTGTCAGTTGAAGAGTTAAGTTTAGCTTAAAAGGTAACACGACTTGCAGAACAACGAAGCCTGACTAGGCATTTATTTGACCAGGGGAGTCCAACCTTTTGGGCTTCTGACTCAACGCCGCGTGTCAGGCCGAGGAGTTCCCTGGTGCCAGTTTTCTATAGGTATAACTTAACAATTGATTTCCACTATATTCAAAGAAAAATGTATATTCAGGCCCAGCTTCAAGGAAGCAGGAACGTGGAAGGAAAACACAGGTTCCCGTTTGCCTAAGTTTATGATAAGGCTGGGTGTACAGGGAACCTACCTAGCTCTTTAACCACCAAAGCACCCCGTGCCAGCCAGCCTGCTCTTTCCATTACCCAGATCTAGTGGGAAAGCATTCACGTGCTTGATCTGAGCAGATGAAGAGTAAAATAGGCTTTTTCCACGTGGAAGCTTCTGAAACGCAAGAGGCTCTAGGAATCAAAAGTTTTCTATTTGAGAGAAAAGTTAGATACTGCCCCAAAACCTAAGGATAGGGCACTGAGCCACTGGTGAACAAGGACAGGAAGGCAACCATTTAGCCAACACACCATCAGCCACGTACCACGGATCCCCAACTGTTATTTCAGTTAAAACCAACGTTCTCCTCACTTCCTGCTTTCAGTTCTGTTCATTACTACCATGTTCAGGCAAACAGTTGAGACCTCCTCACCACAGAGCTGCAATTCCACTGTAGCAATCTGGAAGTATTTTATAACCTGAAGGACACCCCCAGTCCTTGCACATACCATGTTCTGCACAAGAAGAGGGAAACAAATCATGGGTCCAGTGCATCAATGAGCCCTGATGCTCCAAAAGGCCGAGAATCTGCCCTGGCAGCAAAAAATGAGGCTAATGAAACCTAAAGGGGTCTCTAAATAAGGAGTTCAAGGAAGGGGCTCTTCTCCACGATTCCATACTACTGATACTACTAACATAAAACTGAGTTGCTTCTCACATTATCTTCAAAATTTATCAGAAATGCATATGATGGTCTATTTTAACAGGCAAGAAGCAGCTTTACAGCTTTTCCCCCTCCTTCCTTTCACCTCTCTCCATACAGATTTGTGTCGGTCAAGTCCTCGCTGCCAAGCAAAACAATCAGGGCTCTTACAGTCACCTTGAGTAAGACAAACTCTCCTCCTGACATGTCGCTCAACAACTCATGCACGTCCCAGTTGAAATCCACCCTTCCTGAATACCAGAGTGATGGCTGTATCCTCCAAGAGATCTCACCTGAGCCTTGGGGAAGAGCTCCAAAATTTCCTCTGTCTCTTCTGGAAATCTGTGCTGATATATCTCCAAGTACTCCTTATCTTTCCCTGCACGCCTAACACTGCTAGCTCGTGATCCAGCTGTTAGCTAGTACGCACCCAGCACCACCTTCTCCTCAAAAATGAAAGATTTAACAACCTCTCACTTACAAACTATTAGACCTTTTACTTCCTATTGCTGAAGTTCATTACAATTTAAATTGGTTCCTCACAATGTCATCTCGCCTGCTCTTCATGTTACGAACTGATCTCTATGTCTATCAGCAGCCCTGTGTGAAACAGCCGCACTTTTTGCATTAACAACACTACGACGCAAAGACTAAACAGCACTGGCCCCACGGCAAGTCCTTGGAAAACACTGTGGAATAACTCCCTCCGGTTGGAAACTTTCTGTTGCCATCTTCCATCAGCTTCTCACCAAGTTTCTCTACCAACTTACCCCTCTTCTTGAGCTCCGCTAGCCTATTTTTGTCTTTTTAGAAATGGAGCCGATTCAAGATAGCAGATCTACTGTGGCTGCAAGTTCAACCTCGGAGCAAAGGCCAGTACCAGTGTTGTTCAGTACCAGGGCAGATGAACCTAGCAAGACCCATTTTCACACCAACACTGACTACATTAACGCTGCACCACATCCTCATTTGCCCCTTTAACTCCTTCCTTCGAAGCCCGTTGCAGCGCACTGCCTGCTGTCGAGCTGCCAGCTCGCGCCCACGCTCCCGCCTCAACCCAACCACCCCGGGCAGCCGAGCCCTGCAGCTTCACAGCCCTTCCAAACGAAGCCCCGTGCTTTCGCTCCCGGTTTCCCACACCCGGGGTGGGAATAAACCGCCCGGTGAATGACAACAGGCGCCTGTCCCGCGGCTAACGGCCGGCCCGGCAGCACAGAGCACGCCAGGCTCGTGGATGTTCAGGAGCATCTCATCTCTCCCAGCCTGTCAACGAGCGGCTTCAGCCTTGCAGGCATCACCGTCCCCACCCTGCTCAGACGCTGCCTGCGGAGGTTAACCAGCCGGAGAACAACTCACTGGCAGTACAACCCCACGTCCCTTCAAGCTCATTTACAGAATTCAGCTTGTTGGTTCCAGCTGCCGGCGTTGAACCTCCTCAACTTCCCTCCTGAGTTTAATGGGGCGACGCAGCAACTCCGGAGCCATCCTGCACGGCGAAGGACGGACGGACGGACAGCCGGGCAGGACTCTTCCCTGCAGTCCCACCAACCGGAGGGCTCAGCTAAGGCGTTCCCCGCACCCGAAGGCCAGATTTTGGAGGTGCCCCCCCCCCAAAAAAAAAAGGACTCACCGCCAGCGTGTCCAGCGCGTCGATCAGCGTCAGCGAGTAGTTCCCCAGCACGTCGTTGATGTTGAGGTTGGAGCTGGAAGGGAAGAGCCGAGCGTCAGGCCCCGCCGCGCGGGTCCGGGTGCCCGCGTCCCCGTCGTGCCCCCCCCCGCCCCCCTCCCCTCTCCGCCCCCGGCGACTCACGGGTCGTGGCGGTCGGGGCCGCGGCCGCGGCAGTGGAGCGGGTCGAGCTCGTCCCGCGGGAAGGCGTGCCGCATGTAGCTGTCGTAGCCGAAGACGAACATCCCGCGGGCGGCGTCGCGCAGCCGGGCCCGCAGCTGCGGCGGGAAGGCGCCGCTGTACCGCCGCTCGTACTCATCGCCCGCCGCCGGCCCGCCGCCCCGCCGCAGCAGCGAGCCCCAGTGCGAGGGGCCGGCCGAGGGCGGGAAGGGGAAAGGGAAGCGGCGGCGCAGGCAGAGGCCCGGCGCCAGCGCCGGCAGCAGCGCCAGCAGCGCCTGCAGCCCCAGCCTCAGCAGCAGCAGCCCCAGCACCACCGACCGCCATTGCATGGTCGCCCCCCGCGCATAGTTTAAAGGGGCCGCCCGCTTTCCCCCCCCACCCCCACAAGCACCCCCGCCGCCGCGCCGCGTCTCCTTTAACAGCGGAAGGGAAACAGGGGCGCGGGGGGGGGGGGGGGGATGTCCCGCCCCGCCCTGCTCCTATAGGCCGAGGAGGGACCAGCCCTTCGGTCATAGGGCGCGCGGCGACGTCACTCAAGGGCCGAGCCCCGCCCAGCCTTAAAGGGGCAGGGCGGAGGCGGAGGGCGCCCGCGGCTGTCGTGGCACGGCCCGGGGGCGGGGCGGCGAGGGGAGGGGGGGAGAGGCTGAAACAGCAGCTTTTCCAAACGGGAACAAAAAAAAAAAAAAAAAAACAAACAAAAAAACCCAAACACACACACACACACAAAAAAAAAAAAATCACAAAAACAAAACAACAAAAAAAAAACATAACACAAAGAAAAAAAAAAAAAACACCACCAAAAAAACCACCACACAAACCCAAACCAAAACCACCATTCACATACGTGTAATCCATGGCTCCTTGCAAACTGTGGATATGAAAGTGAAAATGGGCAGTACTGGTAAAAAACAAACCCCTCTGACAGTCAAAAGAACGGAAAAGTCAGTGAAGAAACTACAGCTGAGGGAGGTAAAAAAAAAGGAGACACAAATCTCTGAGCTAGCCCAGAAACGGGAACAGCAGCACTGGTAACCGTGGCTGCCTGGCCGCTGAACTAAGGACCGGTGTTCACTCCAGCGTTGCGTCCTTTTAGCAAGCGAGGGCATGATTTGTTACAAAAAAAAATCTGATAGAAAGAATGTGAAAAATCCCTACGCAGGGAAAAAAATATTTAAAGACTGGCATCACGCATAGGCAGACAACCAGACGGTAATGATTTGTCTTCAGCCTGCGTTTTACACTACTTCAGAAGTCAGATCTTGCTCTGCTTTCTGTTCATTGCAACAGAAACAGCAGAACAAATGAATCTTAATAAAAAAAACCCACACACACTTCAGTGGTCCATCAAGACTCCTCTATGCCGACTCCTGTTAAAATCCTCTACCCTGTTCAAATGTAGCAGCCAGTGGTTGCTCTTTCGGTTCCTTTCCTCAATCTGTGGAATTCATGCATCTTTTTAATGTTTTTCCCCTTATCACCAGAAATAATATTCCCATCAAGAAGGGGATTCGTTTATTGACTCTAAAAGAATAAGGAAAATCCCTCATTGTTGAAAAGACTGAAGTATCTTTCCACATCCCAAGTTAACAGCTATACAGAAGCAACGTAACACTCTACTTCACTCTAAGACTCCTGTGAGAATCAAGTTTACCTCTAAATTTCAAACATCACAACAGCTTTTTCTTCCTATACTCGCGTATTTCACTTGTTTGTTGAATAATATCGTTTATGAGCTTCCACCCAATAGGTCTTTTCAGAAACACAAGTGAGACCAACAAATGCTTTCAGCGTCTAACACAGAGCTGTAATCAGAAACGACAGAGTTTCACAGAGCAGCTACTCTGAAAGTTGCCCCCCGCTGAGCACAAGGCTTACTGGTCACTCTCTCCAGATGAAGTGATGCAGTTAACGCTCCTGCCAGTTTCCACAGAAACCATTCTGCTAACACACAGCACATATGGAACCAAGCATCAAACCAGGCAGCAGCATTCAACTTTTTTTTATTAAAACATGAAATTTAGAATTCACTTAGAATTAGCCTCCTTCATATATATACTCCAGATTACCGCTTATGCCAGTGTTTAAAATGTGAAGTTTCCTAATTAGGCCAGGAAAAGCTTCTTGAGTTTACTACTTGGATGTATCTGCCTCCACGGAGGCGATACCAGCTACTCTCTTCACTGCTAGAAGAGTGCTTCAAGGAGTCAACCTTTCTGCTCCTCTCCCAGGTGATTTAAACAATTAAATTTTAGCATAGATGTGTTTAGTTTAGCTCAAGTGTAACATTTCCCACAATTTGTTAATGACGATTTCTTACACGTTTCTAATAACAACAGTAATAAAAAAAAAAAAAGCAGCTGTACTACTACAGATGAATATGCAAAAGAATGGTTTTCAACAACACTTTATTGAAGCACTTCAAAATGATCACAATGATAGATGTTGCCTTTAACAGAATAAAACCTATAATGTCATAATTAAAAGGCACTAATCCTGGCACAAAGGTCTACTTACCCACCTTCCACCGTGATGGGAATAAAAACATCAAGTATTTTACTTCTCCTTTAAAAGAGTATGTGCATACCCCCTTTGAGTGCCATTCCGTGTTTGTCATTTAAGCGACACGTAAAGGAAATTCCCCGATGTTTCACCAAGGCATACTTTAACGTTCAGCATCTGTACTCCTAAAGCAACAGACTACTCCTTGAGGGTTTATGATCTAGCGAGACAAGTCAGTCTACGCTCACGTTTTGGGAATAAAAGTCCTGAAGCACATACCAGTTTCAGGCATTCACACGTTACTTCTCCTTTACCACGATTCATTGCTTTGCTATTCGTGTAATCGGCAACGCACCGCTCTTAGCAAAATAGCTTAAATAACCTGATTTACAGCCCCCCCACTTAGAATCCCGCAGCTCTCCAGTCAGGGTCAGTGCAGAAGCAAGCCAGCAGGGAGCAGCGCCGGGGCATGCGACCGGGAGGAAGCGCATTTCTTTCACATTCAGTAAACACGCACAAAGCAAATCATGACATGCATTGCACAGCCACAGTAACTATAAAAATTAAACCTTAGAAAAAGTTAAAAGCTCGATAATCCAGCTAAGTCATACTTCAAGTTATTACAGATCCCTGCACAACGTTCCTATATCAATTTAACCAGAGACTGTTTAAGGCATTTTCTTTGGCCTCCTTTCTTCTACCAGAAAGTGAAGATTATGCAGTTTTATATGTCAGCATCCAAAAAGGACCATCTTTCCAACCTGTTTCCACAAAGATGCAAAGTAGAAAACACAAACTGATAAGCACCTAGATGATTAGTTCCACAGACCATGAAACAGCTCCACATTTGTGCATTTTTCATGTTGCCAAGTGGGAGGACAGAATTGCTCTGTGCAACTGCTAAGACGCTCAGCCGTACTTGATGATGAGAACTATGCTGCACCGTAATTGCACTTAAAGAAACCACCATCCACACTAAAGCTGACAGGACATTAACACTCGGAGGAAAGCTTTCACACAGCCCGGTGCTCTGGGGGCACGCACAAATATTTCTTCCCAGTCTCCTCTAGAGACGCGCTGCTCTACCAGCAGTAGGAGCGGCGACTTGCACTGAATAAGACCAACAACAAGTATCCGGAGTTGACAGCTACTTTAAAGCATCAGGACGCCACACAATACCAACACATCGTGAGGTCATAAAGGTATGACTGGTGTCCAACTTCCACGCATATTCATGACCAAGAGTTCTCTCTGGCTCAGTATTTGCCTTTTCACAAGACCCAGTTTTCTTAAAATGCTAATCATCAAGACCTACTGCAGATACATCAGAAGAGTTTCAGGACTACACCTACCGATGTTTAAGTACAATAATTTACTGAAAATGCATTCCCAAAAGCAACTTTTGTTAAGAGAGTGGGAAATTTAATCAGTCTCTTGTTACTGTCCAGGCTCACTACTGAGCCTGCAACAAGTAATCATCATGAGAGATTAGACTGGCCCGACAGATTTCTAGAAGCAGAACACACAGCTATAGCATCCAGGGTCGGCAGACAACACTGCTAATGCCTATCTTTGGCTCCACACCTTTATTAGAACAGAAAAAGTTTAACCTGGGACTTCACCGTGCCAGACAAGCAAGTAGTTTTTTCAGTCCAAGGCTGAAAGGTGGCAAGAACAGCCTCACTTCTCCAGAAAGACTTACTATACTTCCCTTGTTTCAGAATGAAGGTAGTTGGAAAGTTAATCAAGCCCTCCAACGGAAGAAGTATAAACTTCCACACCGGATTCAAATAGTCCCTTCAAGGCCTACATTTCTGCCACGTAACTAAAGGCATCTGGAAGAATTGTACAAGAACAGCTGTGAAAATCTACGTGGAGTCATTTCGTGAAGTAATACAAGCGGACTTTTTAGACTACGTACATCATAGGTAGCCAGTGTAGCTCTCCTTCCTATGTACATTTAGAAGAAGAAACTATTACTTAAATATCACATCAAGTAAACAGCTGTCGGCCAAGTTGACACCACAGCTGATTTAAGTGATTAGTACGAGTATCAGACCAACCAGGCTGACAAATCTTACAGCAGTAATACTTTTTTTCAGATTTTGCATTTAGAGGCATTTTGCTTTGAATGTTAACTCCAGGTAGCTTGTTCTGCATGCAGGAAACCCCACCAACTGAAGAAACATACACATCATCTTCTACTCAACAATTCATTAGCCCTTCCCACCAGCGGAGTTACACGTGAAGGCGGCTAACTGACCAGTACCCAGGCCTAAAAACTAACCTGTTACAGCTCAGTAAGTTCGAAAGCTTATGTGGAGGTAGGCCGTGAACAGAAGACATGCAATTTGTTACCATTACTTGGAAGAGGTTGACGCACAGTCCCTATAAGTTAGTGACCCAAAAGAAGTTAATGCAACAAAGCACTTGGGAAGAGCAGTCAGGGTAACTTCAGATTAGAATCACAACAAAGATTTTGTCCAAGACTTCAGACAGCAAAAGCCTCACTTTCCAATGAGATAGGAATCTTTATGCTTTAACCGGCAGTGAACGATCAGGCACTGCTAGATCTGACACTTGTGCTACAATAGCAAAGGGTTTATTCTAGGCTTGACGACAAGAAACAAGCTTGTGGACACGTGCATTTTTCTCCTGAAAACTGAGGTCCAGAAGGCTGCCCCTGCTTAAGACCCTTCAGCTGATCGGTGCTTTTCATAAACATAAAAAAAAGCACTGAGGTCTGCCGAGACTGACTAGCTAAGCTTGCTTACGTAAGCTGAGAAAGCCCCAGGCCTGAAAGGTAGTTTTGTAAGCATTTCGCTTGAATAGTTGAACCACAGAACATAAAGAAGCTCAGGTATTTACTGAGCCTTCTTCCCCCACCGTAATCTTGTGGGACAGGAGACTGACATCCCATAATGTATTTCTG